CAAAGTGATGTCCAAGGCTCTAGCGCATCGTTTAAAAGTGATTTTATCTACTATATTTTCCCCTTCTCATAGCGCTTTTATCCTTGGTAGGCTAATTTCTAACAATATAACGGTAGCCAAGGAGGGTATTCATTTACTGAAGAAAAAACGTATAGGGAAGACGGGGACGATTGTCTTGAAGATTGACATAAGCAAGACATGATAAAATAAAGTGGGTTATCTTTGTGAAATGATGGAGAAACTTGGTTTTAATCATCATTGGGCGGAGTTGGTTATGAAGTTTGTTTCCTTTATACAATATTTAGTTTTATATGAAGGAACAGGTTGGATCCTGTGATCCCAAGTAGAGGTTTACGACATCTTTTCATTGTTTATGTGGAAGGTTTGTCATTGTTGCTTTGGGGTCAGGAAAGACAAGGTTTGATTCATGGTTGTAATGTTGCTAGAGGTGCCCCGAATATTTCTCACTTGTTTTTTGCTAGTGACAGGTTATTGTTTTTGGTTCTGTAGAATCAGAAAACATTCAAGTGATGTATTATCTCTCAAAATATGAACATGCCTCAAGATAAATAGTCAACTACCAAAAATCGTCTCTTACTTTTAATGCTAACCTCCTGTGGAAATGAGGCAACAGGTTTCTGGTGTGGAAGTTAGTGAAATAACAGACATAGGTTCCTATTTAAGTCTTCCTTCAACGGTAGATAGAAATGAAAAGAAGGTATTCACTTTCCTCAAGGTAAAATATGGAGACATGTTCAGAATTTGAGAAAGCTATTAATTTCTCGCGATGGAAAGGAGGTACTTGTTGAATTTATTATCCAAACCATCCCTACTTATACTATGAATGTGTTTCCACTTCCCAAAAATATTTGTGTTGCAGTTCAAAGAATTATGAATGGGATTACAATTTTAGTGGTAGTAGAGGTATCCATTGGAAAAAATGGGAAGTTATGTGCTGCAACAAATCTTTGAGTGGTTCGAATTTCAGACGGCTTCACAAGTGCAACCGGACTCTTCTAGGTGAGCAAGTATGATGGCTCCTTACCTGTCCAGACTCATAATTCCCAAACTCAGTTGATTCCCAAGTCAGTTATGTACAACCAACTGATTGTGATAAATATTTTGTTATGTTGGAGATGTGAGATTTTTCTTAAACTTAATTCAACATTCTGGGCAAAGATTATGAAAAATTATTTTTGTAACTTTGAGTTTACTCGTAGTTATAAATGTAGTAATTGAAAGGAATGGTAATCCATGATTTTAGGAGACATGTCTAGTAAAAGTAGAAAGATTGTATTTTGGGTAGATTTGACTTGTTTGTAGAATAGTTTTCTGTTAGGCATCAGCTCTGATAATAATGACGCTGAAATGATGACTAAAGTTTTACCTACGGAGAAATTTGTCACTTGCAGAAAGATAGCCGGTATGGCTAACGTCCCCACTTAAGTGTGCAAGGGGAGATTTGTTGTGCGGTGCCCACTCAGTGAGACCCACACTTTGTTGAAAATAAAAGATGAGAAAGAAAATTTTCTTCTTAGTAGGTGATCTGTTTTTCGATTAACGCGTCCACCTCTCCTAATCATGCGTCCATCTTTCCTATAAATAGGAGATGGCGCAACGCTTCATAACACACAACAACAGAGCGAAAGAAAAAAAGAAGAGAGATTTGAGAAAGTTGTTCTAGTTTTAGAACGGTGTTCTAAAACTCGGGTAGAGAAAATAGTGAAGATAATTTGAGGTGTTTTTGGGAAACACTTTTGAGCGCCACTATTTTGTATTACTCTCTTTGTAAGCCTAAAAATAGTCGAAGATAAATTCTGATGGTGTTTTTGGGAAAACACTTTCGAGCGCCACTATTTTGTATGTACTCTCTTTGTAAGCCTACTATTTTTTACATAGTGGAAGAATTTATTCGGTTTTTGTCCGTTGGACGTTAGCCCTAAACCCCGTGGACGTAGCCCTAAACAGTTAAGAGGGTGAACCACGTAAATATCTGTGTGTCATATTTCTATTTTTCCGCTGTGTTATTATTCTCGTAATTTTATTGTCCGGCCCCAACAAACATTTTCTGAATAAGCTAAATGAAAGATGGAACCGTGCATGTGAGAGTGAAAAGGAGAGAAGAAAAGAAAAGTGTGCAGAAGAAAGAAAAGAGAGATTAGGAGAGGAGATTGTAAGAAATTATATGCAGAAAATGAGAAAGAAAAAGAAGAAAAAAATCTTTGTAAACCTTGTTTTTGCTTTGAATTTTTAACTGGGTTCTTGTTAGTGTTTATATTTTTGAATTTCTCCTCTCCATCTCCATTTCCCAACATGTTAACTCTTTAATTTCGGATAATAACTTGTCTTGGTGAAGGGATGTCGTGGAAGCTTTGTTCAATGAAAGGGACAAAAATTTGATTCTTAAAATCCCATTGAGTGTCTCTTGTGGGGAGGATGTCTGGCTTTGGAGTGAAGATGGTTGTGGTATTTATACAGTGACAAGCGCTTACCATAAGCTAACTAGAGATAATTAATGTTCTTTTAACTCTTGATCTTATGCATCTGTGTTGGGCGAAGATTTGGAATCTGAGAGTACCACCCAAAGTTTAAGAACTTGATTTGGCGAATTTGCAATAACTGTGTGCCAGCGAGATCTCTTTTCAAAGCAAGATATAGATGAAGCTTGTCCTGTTTGCAGGTCGGTGGTCGAAGCTTTAACTCGTGTTTTTATTGATTATGGGTGAGCCAGAGACTGTTGACACTGAGTTTTGAATGGAGCTCCTTTTATTTTTGATTCACAGCAGACCATGTCAATACAATAATGGCTTTTTAATGTGTTTCGAGTTCATGAAATTTCTGATAATCAGCAGGCTGTTATGACCCTTTCCGCTGTCTGGAATGTCAAAGTTAGGTGTACCTACACACGTGATGAAAAGAAAAACAAAGTTGGCAGAAGTTGGCAAGCGACCTTGACGAAGATGGAGTGCCGTGTATAAATGATACACCGAAGATGGAGTTGCCGTGTATTAAATGATACCACGGCTCTTCTCGATCCTCCTTCTCCTATAAATAGAGAGGATTTGCTCCGTTAACCACACACCAACAAGACAGAGAGTGAGAGCAATTGTGGAGAGAGCAATTGTGAGAGAGAAAAATAGTGAGATCATTCAAGAAGAAAAATTAAAGCTTTAAATTTTTCGGGTATTCTTGAATAGAGAAATTAAGCTTAATTTTTCGGGTATTCTTGAATAGAGGGTTGTGAGTGTATGTAAACACTGTATTTATTTTTCTCCTATAAAAGATCTGTGGCAGTCCAGAGACGTAAGCAAGATTGGCCGAACTCCGTTATCAAATTGTGTGTTATTATTTTCTTTTGCTCCCTCGTAAAGGGGATTTTGCGTAATTTTTCCCAATATGGAACGCAGAAATGATCTGTTATGGAAGGAGATTAAAGCATCTGTAACTCAGATTCTGCAATTGTCTTCAGTGTGGTTATTTGCATGCAATCGGCTCAAACTAAGCAGCATCCTTCTTTCGGTTAAATGGAACAAGGCTCCATTGTTTGATCAAAATAGCCACCGGACTTTTAAAATGTCATACAGATGCCTCTCTTCAACTTTCCTCTTTGTTAGTCGGAGATTGATCGGTTCTTCGCGATGAATATAGTAAGGTGCTGGAAGCTTGCCAAATCCTCAAAACAGCTGAAGCTGTTCTCATTCGCCAAGCGTTCAGTTGAGCAAAGTCTCGACAGCTTCATCATATTATCTTTGAAACAAACTCTCTACTGCTAGTTTAATCTTTTTGCTAAATAACATTCTGATTCTTCTTATTTTAGTTCTTGTAGTCTTTGATTGTAAGTTGTTAAATGCACTGTACCATTATTCAATTGTTTGTCCTCTACCTATTCTATGTCTAATCTTATGAAGAGAGGTACAGTCACTACAAATGTTATCGTTGATACTGTTCTTGTTAATTTGATTTAATGAAAGTTTCATTTTCCTTTAAAAGAAATAAATATCGTAACTAACAATATTCAAATATAATTCAAGACCTCAAATTTTTTGTTTTTTTAATTAAATTAAATATAATTTTTAAGAAAATATTGTCATTTATATTTATGTTGCTTTAATTTAAATTATTTATTTATTTATTTTTAATTAAAAAATAAAAAGTAAAATTATAAGTTTTTTTTTTAATTCTAAGTAATGAACTGAAATATTAATTAGCGGAATTAATTATTGTAAGTAAATTATTGAAATTCAATTGATATAATTATTTTTTTTTTCTCTTTAAAATTGTCACATATTGAAATTAGATATGGTATAAAAATATTTAATTTTAATGAAATAAATTTTAATTAATTGAAATTAATATTAAATTCTATTTATTAATGTAGCTATATTATTTAATTAATTTTATTACCTATTTTTGATAAAAAAACTATTTAATAAAAATTTAATAGATTATTAATGTAGCTATATTATTTAATTAATTTTATTACCTATTTTTGATAAAAACTATTAATAAAATTTTAAATATTTATTTAAATGTAAAAATGATTAATTAATATATAAAAATCATTCATTAAGATTTTATTAGTTTATAAGCTCCATTATTATTAAATGTAAAAATATTAATTATAATAAAATCATTCATTAGATTTATTAGTTTATAACTCCATTATTTAATAAAAAATTTTAATTTTATTAAATGCAAAAATAAAATAAAATACTAAATTACCAGTTTTGAACTCTAACATGTTATCACTTAAGCATTTATGCATTAGAAATTATATATTTATATATAGATCTTCAAAAGTGTACCCTGAAAATTAAAGTATCATTAAAAAACATTTTCTTCTTTCAAAATATAATAGTCCCGCATTATCTTGTTATCATTTTATTATCTATTTATTTTCATGTTTTAGCGAAATAGTAATTGCCATGATTTATTCAACTTGGAAAAAATAAATAAAAATAAATTATAAACGTACCACCACCATCTAAAGAGGTCAAAAGTTAAAAAAGTAGCTGCACTATTATATTCAAAAACAAATATACGTACATGCAAGGGAAGGCTCCGCTCGTTCATCTAAAAATAAACTTTTCCCATACGGTCTGCAAAATTTGTAAATTTACAATTTGAGATAATTTGCACCTGTGTAAACTATGAATTTCATCTCCTCAAATGGTGAAAGAACATCTGTACACTGCATTTTATAAAAATTTCAATGGCTTAAACATGTTGACAATGCAAATAAATTACCTTATTTCAATGTCTAATGCTTCAATCTTGCGCTTGAGCTAATTATAATTTGAGAAAGAGGAGGCACATATCAGTAAGTAGACTTCGATAATCTCTGAAGTGGGGAAAAAAGGATAACATTGCATTTCCAGTAATTGCCATTCTGATAAAAGTTCAGTTGCTGCGTCGAGCCTCTAATCTCCACCATTCTACACAATAATAAATAGAAAAATGAGAGTTCACTTATCGTTAAATTATGGAATGAAGAAATGAAAACCAGTCGCTATGTAATTCTAAGAGAGTACCAATTAATTGCATCACCACACTGATATACAGGAAGGTTAAGTCGTAGGCCTTGTCATTGTAGATAAACCGCGTCCTACTGGTATAACCCCCGGATAGCTGTTGCCTGTTTCTTCTTCTAAGGGAGCTGTAAAGCAAGAGCTCATCAATATGGAACAGTAGTCCTTGATTCAATTAAATAAGGCAACTCCTAAATCCAAAAATATATATGAAAATATTATGTGCCCCATAGCAGATGTTTATTTGGAATTGGGATCAGCTCAGGTTGGGTAAAGTCAGATTCTCACAAGCCTAAACTAGACCAAAATTAGGAATTTTTCAATTGACCTCCTCGGGTCAGGCCAGAGCAGTAGTTACCCATTTAAAAAATTATTCTAAACTATTCTTTTTTATTAAAAAATAAATATTTTATATATTTTTTAATTTCATTTCCATTTTTTAAAAATTATATTTACACTTTTCAAGTGCTATATTTTATTTATAACATATAAAAGAAATACAAAATGTTTTAATAAAAATAAATATAAAATATATAATCCGGTAGGGTTTAAGACATGTTTCACCATTGTTAAGGATTAGTTGTAAATAGAGTTCTATTAGGAGTTAGATTCCTAATTAGTTTATGATTTGTATTCCTAAATAGCTAGGTAACATAGGAATTCCTTATATATCCTAATTAGGTGTTATGATTTTGGTATTCCTGAAGTAGCTAGGTAAACGATAGGAATGTCCTTATATAATAGGACCTGTGTAATCGATTGATTGAGATACAAGAAATGACAACACAAATATTTTTTCTATCAACAGTGGTATCAGAGGCCTTCCATTAAAAAAAAAAAAAAAAAAAAAAAATCCCCCGAAACTTCCTTGATGTGAGAAGCCACTGCCACCAGCTAGGAGCTTGTCTAGAGTTTAGTATTTTGTCTCAACCACGGACCTCAGGATATTCTAGCAGCTTGATCAGCGCCTCCCCAGAATCCAGTTTGGTCGGATTGCCAAGTGAATGGCCCCCCACGCGTCCTGCCTCTTGTCTTCTTGCTGCTAGGTTCAATATAGGCGTTGGTCGGCATGTCCAAATGGTTCTTGTTTCAGACGTCCGGTTCCTCTGCTTCCGGCGTTGGAACTTGAAGATATGACGTGCATCCCAGTGAGTTGCATGCTTTAATTCTTTGGGCTTATTCAGAATAGGTGTTGTTTTGTGCGAAGTGTCTGTTACGCTGTGTTGGTCCAGGCAATCTTTCTGCTAACTGTAGTGAAGTTTGGCTTTAAATTTGCTGAGGAACGATATTTTCCTTTGGCTGGTGACAATTGGTTTAGGTAATTTTCGGTGATTTTCTAGTGGAGTTCCTTTTTGCGATTAGGGTTTAGGTACTTGCACCCTTTGCTGCATAGTTAACGGGTTAAGTTCTGCTTTTTGAAAGCTCTGCTCGCTTTTGTCGAGAGCAGTGCAACCCCAGTGAGTTAGCATTGTGTTCTTGGCCTTCAGTGGTGTGCTCTGTTTGCCAGAGTTTCCTTTGCTGCGTTTCTAAATATCTGCGCTACTGGACTTCCTCTTTGAGGCATTGATTGTGGAAGCTTGAAACAGCCTTGGGAGTTGTGGGCTTCCTCTTTGAGGCATTGATTATGGAAGCTTGAAACGGCCCTGAGAGTTGTTTTCTGGTTCAGTGAGATTTGTTTCGACAACCTAAGTGTGTTGTCTTAATTCTGCTGCTACTATTTGGTTTGGATTCTATATTACTATAATGAAGTGGGTACAGTTGCTGAGTATGGTATTGTGCTTTGCTGAAAGTAGTAGTTTGTAACAAGTTGCGCATGATTAACATCTATGCTTCAACTTGAGGGGGAGTGTTAAGGATTAGTTGTAAATAGAGTACTATTAGGAGTTAGATTCCTAATTAGTTTATGATTTGTATTCCTAAATAGCTGGAATTCCTTATTTGTATTCCTAAATAGCTAGGTAACATAGGAATTCCTTATATATAGACCTATGTAATCGATTGATGAGATACAAGAAATACAATTACAATATATTCTCTCAACAACCATTAAGTTGCTCTTGACCTGAGAACCCAACTTGGGTTAAAATTCTAACCACCCGATACCCTACCTATTGTCAAATGGGTTCAATAGTACCAGCTCCATTTGAGTCTGCTCCGGTTAGGCACCATATGGGAGGGGTAAAAAAAGGCCATTCGACAGTGGAAATGGAAAGGCATAATTCAAATACTTCAACTTAAATGGCTAGATATCACCAATTCTATCCCAATTATTATGGAAAGCATTAACCCATAGATATTGGAAATAAGGAATGCCGAATCGCTAAATTCAACTATTTGCACTTACCAGTAATCTCATCGCCAGCCTGACTGCCAGCAACCCCAATGCATGAATAGAGAGAATCCTCATCTACCTTCAATTGTTCATATGCAAGGTATATGTCCTCAATAGTAGCAGCCTCATACAGTGAAGTGAGATCTTTAATGCAAGAGATGTTCTGAAACCCAAAAAGGAAAAGAAAAGCCAATAATTGATAGCATGTAACTTTTTTCCATAACCCATAACAGGGGAAATTTAATAGACCGCTTCTTACAAATTGTAAAGTACAGATTTGTACCCAGAACATGATACAAAAAATGAATGGAAAGGCTAAGCCTCAAAAACACTGATTTTACCTTCCTTGGAACAGAAGAAGCCTGCAAGTGAGCCATCAATCCGAGCCAATAGGGGTTTGACTTGATCTCAGCTTCATGTCTCATCAGAAGCGTTCGTTTAGCCTGTATCCAAAATATGAATTTACAACTTTATATCCAGCAAAAGCAAAAGACAGAAAACAGTAAAAACAGTAGATACTCCTATTCCATTACAAGAATAACGAACTTTACAAATAGCATACACAAATATAACCAAAAATATCTGAAATGAAGAGTGACACCAAGTTCACATTCTCCATTGAACATGTATATTTCAATCTATCCCTTATTCCCTTATACTATAAAGTCATGAGTGGTAAGCCATAATGGGATATAATGTAATGAAATCAAATGCAAACCTAAATGTTGTCAATTACAGAGGAGTACAAGCAGCATTCTGAGAGTTCTGAAAACTAACCCTATCCAACTCTCTTTGGACGATCTTGTTGCTATGCAACCCTCTTAGAACACTCTTGCATGCATCAACAGCTTTATATACCTGCATGTTTATTGGATCAAAGGATGGTCTGGTAAATAACTTTGGAACAGTATATATTTCTTGGAACAGTATATATATATATATAAGTATATATATATATATAAATATATATAGATAGATAATAGATAGATAGGAAAAGGGTCAAAACCCACCCTTGCCTGGAGTTGATGTTACAGATGATCACATACCAGTCCAAGCGTGAGTCTATCAAAAAGGCTCAACTCAAATGACAACATCATATGTCATCCAAGAGAATCTCGGGATCTGTGGTAAAAAGTCTGCACAAAAAAAAATAATAAAATAAAAAATGCTTAAATTCTTAGCCATTGAAGGGAAGCTATCAGGAAAAAATGTTGAAAAAAAAAAAGACCCATGGATATATAGATAGATAGATAGATAGATAGGAAAATCAAAACCCACCTTGCCTGGAGTTGATGTTACAGATATCACATACCATCCAAGCTTGAGTCTATCAAAAAGGCTCAACTCAAATGACACATCATATGTCAATCCAAGAGAATCTCGGACTGTGGTAAAAAGTCTGCACAAAAAAAAATAATAAATAAAAAATGCTTAAATTTCTTAGCCATGAAGGGAAGCTATCAGGATAAAATGTGAAAAAAAAAGACCCATGATGTTATAAAAACTACAAGACCTGTGTGGATCATCTATTAGTTATCTACAAAGTTCCATTAAAACAGTCTTTGGACGACATTTGAAGCAGTAAAGTGAATTTTATTACCAATTTAAACCAAGCTATTAACTTCCTTTAGCATATCATGCCTCCTAAGCTGATAATTCAAAAATGACCCATGGATCCACTCACCATACTCTCGACTTGTATTTATCCTTCTCAAAAATCTTTGCATTAAGAAGAATAAGTAAAGGCCATTGTCACCAAAATACAAAAGAAAATTACTATCGCAAGATTACGTTTCAGATAATTTATTTTAGTTATACATGCACAATTTCGCAAGACATTCTAAGGCACAAAGGAGTCCAGGAGCCTATGCCTTTTTATGCCATGACAATTAGACCATTGAAAATCTACAAACAGGAGACATGTCAGCCAGATCATAGGAAATAGTGAAGTTAGAGGGGAAAAATGAAAACGAAAAGAAACAAGGGTTGATAGAGTTTAATTAAATCTCAAACAAGGAAAACAACTCATCAAAAATAGGAAGATCAGCTCATAAAAACCAAATTTATTAGGTAGTCATCTCAAGCCTATTTCTTTCTAACGAGTTGTACTCTTATATTATGCGCGCGCACGCACGCACGCGCGCACGCACAAGTAAGTCTGTCCCAAAAATTGCAGAGGGCCTGAACGGTGATTAAAAAAAAATTAAAAGAAAAAAAGGGCTCATACAGGCAAAAAAAGGTGAGTTGTGCCTTGTGCTGTTTGAGACATGCACCTTTCTGTTAAGGTGTGAGCCTTATGTAGTCCCCAGTTGCGCACAAGGTATGCTTGCCTTTAATAACAATGCAATTCATTATCTAAATCAAGAAAAAATTAGTTTTTTCTCAATAAATAATTGTTTACATGTTGAGTATTCACTACTGTAGATTCTGTCAGAAAGTTGTACAACTATAAATTGTCATGCTACTACTGGAAGAACAAAAATCTCACAGAACTGATCACAACCTTTACACTTTGACCACAATATCCTCGAAGAACCCCATCCAACCACATCCAGACTGCAATTTAAACCTTTCTTGATTCAAATAAAGCCAAAATTGTTGAAGAGCAGCCAGTTCCAAACACCTTGAGTTAATTCTCAAAGCTTAACAACTTTTAACAGGTGTTTTATTAAAAATTTCAGCACCACGACAATGCTATCACCAATGGTCAATTTCTTTGGACCAAAACAGTTTCTAGAGCTTTCGAAGAAATCACGAAAAGAATGTTGAATCACATGTTTTACAGCTGCCACATTTTTCTAAGGTGTTTGAAACAACACATGCAGGTACTAATTTAGAGATAATCTAAGTCAAGAAAATCATCCTAGCGCTCACTTCTGCAAGAAATTAAATGATGCAAGAGAAAAAATATCCAGCCATGCGAAGGAATTCTGTTTCCCATTCCTAAGGAGTTTGTTTTGTATTCTGACCATGCTGTCAAATAATCAACTCTTGAAAGAAGTTGAATAGCTGCCATGTGAATGGGGTTGCATTGTTAAAAGAATTGTTCATTTGCAATCAAAGCATAAAACTGAAGATAAGAATAATCCGGAATTCATTAGTCCAGTGGTGCTAAATATTTTACTCATATGGCTGTCGAAGTTGCAAGCATCAAGTAATTCAAAAATGATTACCCAGCTTGCACAGATTTCAGCGTCATATATGCATATTTGGTGGCTGGATAGCTTTCTTAGGCATGACAGGCATCACTTCAAAGGAAATTGCCGATCCTTGTAGGTACTTCTCTATATGAAGAAGTAATTCAAGATTTGCATAATACAGATGCAACATGTCATTTTGAAAAAAAAAAAAAAAATCATTGTAATGGTGAAAGATCAGCTTTGTAGGGCAATTTTTAAAATGATATTGCTGGACCGGACTGGGTTAGTGAAAAATAAGGGAAAATACAAAATTTGAGCAGGGCTTTTGTGCTTGGTTCACAAAACCATAAGAGGTCATATTTTACTTATTGTGGTAGATCACCATCCCAAGATGGCTCTTATCATCCCTTGTTCTAAGAATATTCATGCTCTGTATTTCGCCATACTTTTCTCAATGAAGTTGTTCGACTTCACGAAATATCCCCAACAATTTTTCAAAACACGGTTGGAGACTTTGCTTAAATGAAATGTTCCAAATATTCTTGGAAATTCTTGCTCCCATCAGACCATTTATGTCTATATACATTACGATCCCAATTCATAGATCTCTTGGTTTGAGAAAGAAAAATAAGAGGATCAAACCAGTTCTTCTGACTCTGTTTCAAATTCAACACATGTTGGTTGATTGTATATTTCATTATAGTTCTATGATTCAGAATATCATCCATATTTAATCCCTCTGTATTCCATATTCGAAGTGGCAATCAGATCTATTCATTAAAAAGAACTGAGTCAATAATAGACAATTTTGTGGAGAAAGTTGAATACAAAGTTGAAATTTTTATCATCCTTTCATCCATCAATTGATGGCAAACAGAAGTCGATAACTGAAAGTTTGGTGCCCTCCTTCCCCATTGTATTGGTTATTGGGATCAAACTATTCCATTGGTAGTTCTTTAATGACATCAAAGTATGTGGTCCTTGGAAAATTACAACGGGTGTGCTTCCTAAAAAACTGCATTTGGTTCCATCGCCTATTGAGACTCAATCCAATGTTGATGCAAATGCATTTGGCAAGCATATTCTTTAGTAGGCGTTAAAATCATGCGTCAATGTTCTCAAAGCAGGAAATTTGTAGAATTTTATCCTCTAATGAAGCAGGGACAACCTTGTAATTCCATTGCCGCTAAACAAGCTTCACACCTCTTCAGGGATTTTTCTTTTTATTTCGAAGTTTTCTTATAATTTATTATTGGTTTGAATACCATCAATTACCTCTTTACGGCAGTCCATTCCTAGAGGATTAGAACTATGTTAGCATCAGGATTCCAATTTCTTAAAGTTCAGAATTAATTTGTCTCCAAAAACAAAACGCTTCCCATCCATATTTTCAATCAACAAAATTTACTATGGCTGTTCTTGTTGGACTGTTTATGTGGTTAATTCTACCTTAAGAATGATACCTAAGAAAGTCTAATGCCAGGTTTGGTATGTTGTAATACAATTTAATGGTGATTACATGGCAAGAATTTCTTTGTAACATTACAAAGAAATCATGCAATGTAATCACCATTACATTACATTACAGCATAACAAACATAGCCTAAGTGTAAAGCTTAGAGACAAACTTTAATTATCTGTAACTTTTCGACAACAAGAAGATTTGAAGTTCTGCAAAAATTGCAGTATCAATCTATTCGTGGCTCTAAAATTGACACAAAGTCAGTTCTACAGAGAACCTCTGTCCTGTCCTGTATCAGGATCCAAAAGAGGGCAGTGAAGGAGAAGGAAAAATCCATTCAAGTTAGTGGTGGTGGAGACAGAGATGGTGTAGAGACAAGGATAGGGAATAACTCGACATTCCGAACCCACCTTGTTGCGTTTCCCTGTCATTGCTAAGTTACGTATTAAAATCTTATGAACAAAAGAGTAAGCACAGCTTTTGGAAGAACTACCTTGAATTTATGATCTCAGCAAGCAGCCCCATTGTTATGCCAAAGAAAAGCGGATGACTGCGAAGTTTTGCTTGTGAATATTTCTGAACATCCTTCCCCTCTACCAGTTGTTCCTCTGATATTGGTTGTACATCTGCAAAGCGCAGCTATGTGATCTAAATTGCAATAAAAAAAGAGGACAAGTTTTCAACTCTCTACACAGAAAAGTTTCAGAAATGTTTTTCTTATTTGGACAAATACCGAGTAAAGATTCACAAACAATAACATACAAACCAAAGTTATCTGCATATTTTACAATTATCAAATAATGAAAACAGCCTCTCTGCAAAAAGCAGGGGTAAGGTTGTAGGTCAACCCTCCCCAAAGCCCACAAATGTTGTCCTCCATAAGAAGCATAAAGTTTCAATTTAGACTGAAACCCAAAAATAGTGCAACATATGAATTTTAAGGAAGATATTTAATAGAAAATCAGAATGCTCATACAACCTGTATCTTCTGGAGAGTGAAGCATCATTTCTTATAATTTTTTTTATCACCATGTTAAATTGAAAACAAGATCAAATTGTGAGTATTGAATTTTAGATCCTGTTTATTTATAGAATCACATATTACTTCCATAATTGCTTAAAATTCTCATAACATTTATAACATTTTATTAAAAAATAGTTGGGCGTAGGGGGGAAAAAGCCAGGAGAGGCTCATATCACAAAAGTTAAAAGGACACAGCTCACACCACCATTCTCTGTCTGTGTTCAAAATTCTAACTAATTGGAATTATAATTTGGTCAGTTGTCATACAGTAGCAGAATCTTGGGTTGGAAAATAAAATGAAAATGAAGCACATTCTGATCTTTTAGAAGTCTTTGAGGGATAAAATTATAAGATCCAAATTTCTTATTCAATTCTTGTTATAGCATCAAAACTTACCTGAGGCTACTGAAAAGTCACTGATTGACTCGAACAGGTCTTTTCCATCAACTGTGAACCCCCAGCGGTTTGGTGCAGGACCAGCAATGTAAGCACATGCTCTTTCATCTGTATCCTTCAGGAATACCTAGTTAAATGCAAAAATATGAGTGCAATATCATCAAAATAAAGAGCAGCATCGAAATTACTTTTGAGAAATTCAAAGGAGGGAAGAGGAAAAAAAAAAACAGAGAAAAAAAAAAACTTTACTAGGCGACAGTGAACACAGAAAACAAGCCAACCCAAAGTGAGCTTGCTTTCAGGCATGGCTCTGCCACAATTGTGCAGAGCTCAAGGTTGGGTCAATTTTGACTCCACTTCATGGGCCAAATTGTTCAGCAGGACTTGGCATGGACCCAATATTTCACAAGCCTTTGTCAGCCAATAATAAAAGCTCAAACACTGGCCAGCAGAAAGACCTATTTAAAATGCTTTCTAAAGAAGAAACCACACAATAATCATCAAATAACTGCTGACCATGATTATGAACAGACCTGAAAACCAAATAGGCACAAAAAATGAAAAATGAGAAGTCAAAGCTTGAAGAGGATACGGCATCAAATTAACAGAATTTTTTCACCCATTCAAAAAGCTTTGGATATTTATGAATACACAGGATAATTTTCAAAGACAGGAAGAGGCAGTGAATGTCAGTGCAACACTAAATTTCATAGATCAAGAAGAGCTAGTCTGCAAATTCTATTTTCTATCAGTTCAAATAAGCAAGATTCATGCCTCTCTTATGAGTTCATCCCAAAAGCAAGATATTATGGATCTTATATGAAGTCCATGATTGTTGGCTTGGACTCATTTCTTGTCTTGTCTAGTCTCAGTTGCAAACAGTACTAAGCAGAGCCATTAGAAGAGTTGCCTCATGAGCAATCCCACTAACCCTAAATTTTATATGAACACCAACAAATCTAACTCGCAAATATAATAAATCAAGTTTCAGGCAAAATAGCTTCAATTCTGACCTGTTGAAACTGTAGATCAGATGGGGATGGTCGAAACAAGACTGGGCTGAACTCTTGTTCTCCACAGGAATCTCTTGTTGCTCCAACCGTGCCAAGGTAATCAATAATACAAGACTCAATCTCCTCCCGAGAAAAGTCGCCCACAATACTTACCTGAAAAATAGGCATGCACACCTCAAATGACAAGAAATCTTATATACAGATGTGAATATTCAGCATCAGACATAAATAAATATACCTCCATGTTACCACCTACAAACTGATTCATCACTGCATCCTTTACAGATTTCAATGTTAAATTTTGTAATGATTGTGGTGTTGGTTCAACAAATCGCTCATCACCATTCAACATTGCTTTCATGAGTTTATGAGCAGTTGCACGTTCCAAGCTTTTCGGAATGGACCGGTAGTAAGACAAATACAATTGCCTTGCTCTATCAAATGCATCATCCAGCCAGACACTATGCTGAAACTCAGAAAGGTCAATAAACTCAGAAAGGTCAATATTCAGTTGATAGAACCAAAATTTCATCATGTCAGTAATATCAGCAACCAACCCAACAAGACCTAAACAAGTGCACAAGGTATCAGAAGAGAAAGCCTCAATGTTTTTACAGATTTGCCAATCTGTTGATTAAGAAGGTTACCTCGAGCACCATGTGAAGTAGCTCAAATGCTGCTCGCATACCATTGTCTCGTAAAGTAAAACGGAACTCCATACAGATGAATTCCTCTGTTGACTCCAAAGAGCAATTTATCAGGTGATTCACACAAAAAAGTTCTACCTGAAGAAAAGCACATTACAAATGTGTTAAAAGACAACAATTATCATCTCAGAGAAGGATGAAAACTATGGCAACTAACAAGAGTTACCAGTGTTACTTTTAGAGTGCTACCTTGCAACATGCATCACAATTTACAACTAACTTCAGAAAAGTCTGAATTAATAAAGACAACACCAATTATATGCCATGCTTTAAAGCCATGTATACATCTTAATGCAATGCATAACAAAATTAAGTGTTGAGTGACATTTCATCAATTTATTAGGTGCTCCAACCCAATCTAACAACGGAGCAGAATCATCCCAATAGAATCAAACTCAAAATCAACTGTATGCCAAAATGTTCTTTCTTCCGATTTATGCATCTTATTTTAGTGACATTCATAAAAGGAAAAAAAAAAAGAAAAAAGAAAAAAACATTTGCAGACTGCAACGAGCTATTTATATCATACGCGCATTTTTCTCCCCAAATTTTGGCAGATTCCACATTCATTCATCAGTCTTGCCCTAACTTGACCAAATCTTAGCTATGCAAAACATTACTCATGACAGCTAACTTATGCATATAGCTTCCAACATTCTCCTTTTCATGAAAAGAATATAGAAAATTGCATTTGAAATTCTCGTAAATTATCTCTTAATCTTATCTTTCAGTGTCAACATTCATTTACAACTAGCAAATGTTCCTGTCTAGTCCATTGAAACTGACATCTTAGCTGTTACCTCTCTCTCTCTCTCTCTCGCTCTCCCCATCTCCCTCACAGCTAGTCTTGTTTTCCAGCTCATCCATGTCCGTAATTTCCATTCTCGTTTTTTTTGAAAAAGCAGAAAAAGATGGTAATCATGAACACTGTTAAATCACAGCCAGACCGCAGTTTTGTTTTAACAAAATTTCCCATGCCACATCTAAGAACATTGTTCGATCATTTTCCTCTTTTTTCTCCCCATATTATTTCAGGCTGCTCAATACACTTGCATAATTTTGCATATTTTTACATGCTGATGGCCAATTAGCTAATTGATTAATTAATTGAAACCTAATATAGCAACTTGTATAAGAACTATGTTTTAAACTAGTTAGAAAGCAAAACAACAATTATTGACACAGATCAAAGATTTGTTAGGGCTCCCTGGTATTGAGTGGAAAACAACCATCCGAGGAAAATATTTTCCGAGGAGAATAATTTAAGAGGAAAACCATTATTTTCTATTATTGATTGCAATACTGAAAATTAGCTGGAAATTATCTCTCGGCCTTTGGAGAATATTGGGAAAATTTTTTTTTTTTTTTTTTTTGTCACTAACTATTTGCACTTACAATAGCTTCATATTTTTCTGTTTGTTCTTCACAGATAAATATGAGAAAAAAAAATACATAGAGAAGGTAAAGGGAATTGTTACCACCTGCTATCACAGGCCATGGCTAGCAATAGCCAGAGATATCAACCTTAATCAGTATGGAATAGGCAGCAATATGTGGATTAAATAAAAGGCTAGGAAAACACGATCCCTCATGTCAGAAAGATTTTAGACAAATGACTTTGCAAGTCCTGTAGGGTCAAATTTAGTTATGAAAACATTTTTCCATTAATTTACTTCAAAGCATAATGAAAACAATTAATGAATCTTAAAACTACATGAAACAGTCCATTTGCATTCTATTTTATTAGAATAACCACATAAAAAATCATACAGTGCCCCATGCACTTTTCCTTTTTCATTTCAAGGCTCAAATTTTCATGTGCTCCCATGGAAATATATAAATACTTTTTTCCAATCAGAAAGAGGTGAAGAACTCCTCTCATTTATGATTTGATATCTTAACTTCTAAATAAAATTAGCATTTGGAGTTTAAATGTGTTACATAGTCAACATCCTGGTCATAGCAATTAGATTAAAAATAGTGCCAAACGACTGAGGAAATAAAGCTTATTTTACCTGCTCCCTGGAAAAGTTTCCAACACGACCTCCCTCACTGAGAGTTCGAACACCCACAATAACAGCTCCTTTTGACTCGGAAGTTTCATTAGCTCGCCCTCCACCAACTATAAGCCGCATTACGCCTCCCCGGGATTCACTTCTTGAAATCTGTAGTGCAACACGTGTGTATAATATTACAATTTAAACAGAAGAAGATTTGAGTTGTTCCCCGCATATATCCATCAGTAAAAGAGATCAAAAAAAAAAGTGGAAATTAATTATACTTCTTTGCACTTGGAAACATCAGAGAAAAAGAACAATTGCTGCACTAATCCTTTGTCTAGTGGTAATGTTCAAAACAAATCAAGATGACATTCCATAAGCAGTGTGGCAATGACATGTACAAATGAACATTTGAGTTTGACTAGACACGTTTGGGAATGAAATTTTGGATAAAAAGAAGGCACATATTGCAAGTAAAGAAGGTGCTGTAACAAACTGCTTTTACCTTCTTCATGCTACCTAATTATAACTCTCAATGGTGGATTTTCTCATGGACATCTCATTTTTAGGAATCCAGACGAGAGGAGGATGATTTTTTTTTTTTTTTTTTTTTTTTGCTGCACAATGCCTTTGTCTAGTGGTAATGTCAAAAACAAATCAGATGACATTCCCATAAGCAGTGTGGCAATGACATGTAACAAATGAACATTTGAGTTTGACTAGAACACGTTTGGAATGGAAAATTTGATAAAAAAGAAGGCACATATTGCAAGTAAAGAAGGTGCTCGTAACAAACTGCTTTACCTTTCTCATGCTACCTAATTTATAACTTCTCAATGGTGATTTTCTCATGCCGACATTCTCATTTTTTTTAGGAATCCCAGACGAAGGAGGATATTTTTTTTTTGGTTTTTTTTTTTTTGATCACTTTCATATTTTTTTTTTTTTTTTTTTTTGGTCACTTCATATTTTCCCAATTCTATGTCATCCATCCAAGGAAAAAGCTAGAAGCATTTGCAGTTTGGAGTCATGATTGTCTTTCACTGAAAATATCTCTTAGTTTTTGTTGTTTAAGGTAGTGTTTAGTGTTTTTACATGTGTTTCGACTACAAACAAAACACGGCCTCTATTATTAAAATTATTTGGTGGAGTAGTGTTTATACTAGTTTTTAAAGGTTGAGGAAGTGAATTATGAAACATCACTCCCATAACGTTTAGCTAACAGCCGGTAAAATAGCTGACAGCTACAAGAACATCAAAACAGCTAATATCATCAAACAAGGTCTAACCTATTCAATCATTTCTCCCCATGCAAGTCATGGACAGAAGGTTAGCTTCCTTTAAGCTTATAGTTATTTTTTTGACTACTATTACTTGACAAAATTAACACTATTGACGTGTTACAAGTGATAAATAAGATCTATTAAGGCACTATCACCTTACGTGCTTTTGAGTTTGTATACTGATGAGAATCACATACTTCCGGTTTTCTATGACAAATTCTTTGAAACATAATTTTTGCTGAATTAGCAGTGCATCATTAGCCTGCATATCTTGGAAGGTTACATGTTAATTAATTTTAAGGACTTCAAGGACTTCCAGAAAGAGGCAATAGACTCTTTGCAGTTGGACAAAGCTCTTTTGGAGAGTAATTTTTATATTTTTTATTATTGTTAGGAGAAGCCTCCATGATTTCTTTTTGTTGTCTTCTCTAAGATCTCTATGGGGTTCCTCAAGCAGATATGTGAAAAGATTGGAAAAATAGTTCCTCAAGCAAACATGTGATAAGATTGGAAAAAGCTCCTTTGTTTCAGATGGTTTCTCTACCAAAACAAGGTACTCCTTTTCTTCACTATTATTGGAATTTTCTTAATTATTTAGAAAAGATAAATTCTGCAATTAAATGCATAAACAAACAGGAAAAAGTGATCAATGGCCTATAAAGCAACCTCATGATATAGAAAGTCAATTTTACTATAGTTAGCCCAACCACCCAAGTAAAAAATACAAGGTATACCTTGTAGTTTACAGCAATTCCATTTGAAAGACGACATCGAGTGATTCCTGTCTCCATGTCATGCAATCTTTCGACATTTTCTGGAAGTAAAGGAACAAAAGAAGGTTGGCGTTTTGATAGTAACTCTTCTAACTGTGACGAAGATATCAGTTCTTTTGGCACTTCAAGCTACACAAGCAAACAGAAGTATTAATGCAACAAGACATTTGATTCAGCATTTGGCTGTAACAATTTGAATTAAAAATGGAAAGGAATGAAACCTCTGGCTCAGCCTCAATTGGTTCGTCTAATCCTGATTTTATAGCGGCCGTAATTTCACTTGGTGATATCTTAAATTCAGTTTCACCCACTCCATCAATGTGCACTTTATTTGGAACACATGCAACAATTGCTGCAGGAAGCGGTGCAGTGGGTTTCCCAAAATCTGAGATAAATTCTAATACCTCCGCACCAATAGAATTAACCTACACCACACAAAAGTAGACCAATAAGCAATAAGAAGTGTAAGAACCAAATTGACAAACAGAAATACAGATAATAAGTAAATAGGATTCTTGACATCACAAAATGAAAAAAAAAAAAAAAAAAGAAATGAAAAAAAAAAAAAAAGTAAAAAAAAAAAAAAAAAAGTACACTAGGGTATACGGAATGAAAAAAAAAAAACAACTTTTTTAAACCAAATTGAGATCTCCTCCCATACAGGATAACACTGTATGCAAAACTTATTTTTAAATAATACCAATCAATGCAAGACAAGACTAGTCTAGACACGGACTTTTATATTCAAATTCCTAGCATGATTTTAGACTATGAGCCACATACAAACAGCACATGGCAGCAAGAAACCATTTTCAACCTACATACAAGTTGGCAAAATGATATGAGAACAGATTCTAATTTGGGATTGTCTTCCGAAAACTGCCATGAGCTTTTATTTCGTTTTTGTGTCCTTTCTCCATTTTCCCTTTTGTTCCTCCACCTGCCATTGGCTTTCTTTACCGCACCCATTCACTTTCATGAATTATAGATGCCACAGAGTTCTCAGAGGGGGAAAAAAAACCTTTGCAGGAACAGAAAAGTACTAAAATAAACCTTTGTAGGAACAGGTAAGTACTAAAAGAAACTACCTCACCTAATCTCAAGCAACCCAAAATTCATTAAAATAGTAATAAAAATCTTAAAGTTCCTTCGAAAGGAATTCCAGAAAGAAAGATGCAAAGACCACCAGTGTTTCAAGCAATTGTATGCATATTAGCAGGAAAAAAGCACACTTCCTTGCTGCTTCTTTCTTCAGTTCTACAAGTAAAACTGGACTCCCCATTTGATTTTCTAGAACAGCATTTTTATTGAAAAATGCTTCACTAAAGAAGGTAACCACCAAGCTTATTCTTTGTTAACTAAGGTAAATGACGCATCAGAAATAATGACTTGTATTTTACATTATGTTTGGATTGAGGGGAAATAAGGAGGAAAGAAAACAGAGTAGCAAAATAAATATATTTCAAGTGGAGGAAATGAAAAATATGAGTAGAAGAAAATACTTATAGGCCTGCAAGTTTTTTCCTTTCTAGTTTGGGAAGAAAATTATCAGAATTACAGTTTTATCCTTATTCAATATTTTTCTTTTCCACAAAGTCAAGGGAACTCATAATTTTATTATTCACAAAATCATTCTTTCTCCTTATTTCCTTACATATCCAAAACATAGAGAAGAAAAGCAATTTTGTTAGCAACTTTATTCTCTTTTTTATTCTCCTTTTATTTTCCTTTCATATGTTCTTTCCTCCCTAGAGGGTGGTTTTAGTGTAATAGTATATATTTTTATCAGAATTACAGTTTTATCCTTATTCAATATTTTTCTTTTCCACAAAGTCAAGGGAACTCATAATTTTATTATTCACAAAATCATTCTTTCTCCTTATTTCCTCACATATCCAAAACATAGAGAAGAATTTCATATGTTCTTTCCTCCCTAGAGGGTGATTTTAGTGTAACAGTAAAGTTACTCCACTTACGACCTGAAGGCCAAGGGTTCAAGCCACAAAAATAGTCTCTCTACAAAAATGTAGAGGGATGGCTGTGTACATCAACCCTTCCTAGAGCTCACACATGTGGGATGCTTCATGCACTAGGTCGCGCTTTTTTATGTTCTTTTCTCCCTCATTTATTTCCAAAAAGAATGTTAGTCGGTTCTTATACTGTGAATTTGAGTAGTAATGCTAATATAAAAAAATCAGGGTTAATTACAAAACATTCTCATGTCTTCTGTTGTATTTTTTTTATATTTTTTTTTATTTTAGCCTATTCTTCTATCTTTATCAATTAAAACTCTGAAGTCTCAACTTTTAACATTGCATTAATTTTAGCCTCCATTCACACTCTAGAAAAACTAGTGACTAGAATTCTAATAAATCATAAGCAATTTCTGAAAAAGAATACAGTGAACAACTATGGTTTTCACTTACATAACCAAGAGTTGAAAAATGAGAGTTTATATTCTTTTCAACTTCCGACTTGATTGTTTAGTTAAATCCTTAATTGCTGTTTTTAGTGATTTAAACAAATAAAATTCATTCATTCCCCAGATTATGTAAGTGAAAGTCATATTACTCATTATGCTTTGAAAATTATAATTTTCTCTTAATTTAATTATATTGTCTCACTAATTTTACCTGAAACTGACTGGACACTAAATTTGATTTAATTCTAAAATACATCTGTTTAATTGTTAAAATAAAATAATAAGCTAAAATTGAAAAGACACTAAGTATTTCGGGATTTTTTGGTAATTAAGCAAATAATAATAAGAACAATTACATGAGATGGATCTGGCTCAAACATGAGACAAAGCCCTATAATATCACAACAAACAGCCGGCTATTTAAAACATTAACAGCAAGAATATGCATGAGATTTGAGTAGAGAGTCACTTGAGTAGGGAGTCAAATGCATGAGATTCACTGTTGCTAGACCATGAAAATGCATATAATGAAATGAAATTTTTGTGCTTGGTGGCCCAAACAACCAAGAAAATGAAAGCATAAAAACTGTGACAGCTGATAAGCTGATCATTATAAATGAAATTACCTCTTCAAGAGAGACCGTCCCAGCGACAGCAACCAAACTCTCATGGCCTTGTCTCTGATCCATCACAGTATGGCCCAGTGCATCACTCTCCATAATAAATTCCAGATTATCAACAGAAGACACATTATCAATCATAGCTGCTAGATGTTCACTATCTTTTAGAAGTGCATCCATGTAACGAGTTAATTCACCGTTTGTAACACCAAATTCTTTAAGCCTTCGGACCTGCAGCAAACAAAACATAAAAGATGCTGGCAATCAGGAAAGAAATCAAAACAAAATAATCAAGGAAAATTAACAGCATCAGGCAAGATAGTCTTTTCATGGTGGCAACTAATGACGTAATTTCACCAAACAATGCACCCATATCTGCAGTTAACAAATATAGAGGAACACAAATACACAGAAATAAGTAAAATAAAAATAGAAGTCCAAACTGAATAGAACTATGATTTTCCTTTTCTAGATAAAGAAGAGTTAAATTACAATGAAAAAAGAAAAGTCTGGTCTCATGTCAACCCCTGACTGATAGTAAACACAAAAGGAGAAAAAGATATTCTCCTAAATGTTATCAAAACAAAAGAGAAGAAAGATGAGCACAGTCTATCTTAAAACAACAATGCAACAATTGCAAAGAAAACGTGACCCCTAACATTTCTGGCATTCCTTTCTGACCAAATGTACTGAGCAAATAATTAACAGCATAGCAAAATAAGCTTTGCCTTCTTGCTCTTTCCAAATGCTACAGATCAATTTCAGTAACTCCTATAAACTTGCAAATGAAACTCACCAGCATTACAAATGCTAAACAAGAAAATTGCATGTTTCTTTCATGAGTACAGCATAAGTACAAACCTCTTGAACAGCAACTTGAATTGCACCCTGCCAATTCTTGGGCTCCGCAGTTACTGTAAGTGTTGTTACAGTGCATCCTTCCCTTCCAGAATCGCTATGATCCAATTCAATTGAGGTGAAGGGTGGATTTGAACTCTGAAAATTTCAGCAGTTAGCAAAACCTTCAAACCACAGATCAAACTAGATGATATGAACTTAAAACAAACAGGAATATAATAACGAAGTAGAAGCCATCTGAAAAATTCATAAATATCAGATTTCAACTTACAACTATTAATTTTTATTGCCTATTTATTTCCATCTAAAACATAGAGATATAAAGATAGCAGAAACCAAAACACAATCAATAATAATCAGCTATAATCTCAAGCATTGTCAAACAGTCATCATCATTCATAATCTGAGCCAACCTCAGTGGATTCAAATTCTGAAAATTTCTATGATTAGTGAAACCTCCAAAGCACTAACCAAACCAGATGATGTGGGCTTAAAAACATAAAGATTAACATAACTGGTAGTTACATTTCACAACCTTCTATTATGTCACAAAGCAGTCTTCGCAATTTATAAATGCTTCATTTCAGATTATAATTATTACTGTATACTAATTACCATCACAGATTTTGAGACAAAAATGAGAGGAAGTAACATGATATGAATAATACAAGATGAAATCTCAATCATTTTCCAGAAAATAGTCATCACGCAAACTCATAATCTTGAGTTTTTCAGTTGAAAATGTGAGAAATGAGAGGAAATGGCCAAACAGCCAAAAAGGAAAAGCCATAGAGTAGAGTAGAACTTATGACTAAACAGCAGTGAAATACAAACTAAACTAGTACCAGATAAAATTGCAAGGTAGTGTTATTGCTAGAGCAACTATTGTTAATAACAAGAGCAAATACTTCTACTTTGACAATATTACCCTTCTTCTCTTCCAGTAATTCTTTCTCTTACAATTGTTCCCTGAACACTTTTGGAACTATGTATACAATAACCTGTCATTTTAATACTATACAGCATGGATTCATTTTCAACCGTATGGTCCCGGAAAAAGAAAGCATGGCATTTTCAATCTCCCTTCAACTTTTACCATTAGAGCTACCTTGCATCCTGTATTAATTGCACTATCTCAACATCCTCTTCTCAATTCCGGCCAATCAGTTCAACCCAAATTCAACCAAAATCAACAACTAAGTTATCAAATTCAATCCAAATCTTTGAATTTAATGCTCTTTTAAACTCTCACACTCGACAAGTATGGTTTTGGTTTTTGATTAATGCCTTACAAATTTTCTCGTCTGGTTATTGTTAAATAATGCCGTTTTGGCTTTGTAGTTGATTCAGAAACATATATGATTGAATCCGTTCAAAATTTCTATCTCGAATACGTATAGGTTCTGCTTTTATCCACATCTATTTTTTATTGTTATGGATTATATTTTTAATTAAACAGCAACAAGTTATACACAGTTCCAACATTTTTAGAAGCGTGCAGAGGAGAAAGAACAAGGGTAAATTTGACAAAACAACAATATTTGCTCCAGCAATTACGCCACCCTAAAAAAAAAAAAATATTACAAACCACACATTGTAACAAAGCTTGAACTTAAATCATGCAATCACACACCTTGTATCGCGTATTAATGCGAAAATGCAAGGCAGATAGAAATATTCTCTTCATCAAAACATTACGCAAGTCACCATATGTCTTGACCTTCTTCACTGGAATCTGCAGCAAAATCCACAACATAATACTCAAAATAAGGTTCTAATAAAACCAAATTTATATACAACAGAAGATGTTGCTTGAATAAACACTACACATACCTTGCAGAACATATTAATTGCGAAATTCTGAAGCAATTCATGCTGAAAAATCTGTGGTGGTTTCGTATGTACATTGCTTCCAGGAAGAGACCAATTATGCTGCACAGGTGGACGAACTGCATGTCTTTCTTTCTTCAAGATTTTAGATTGATCAACAGAGCCAGAAGACTTATCTGTAGATGAAGGCAGCCCAACTGAAAGCTTGGGAACAAGAAAACTAGCCATTGCACCAAAGGCACTAGAAGATGGAGTAGGAGCAGGAGCTGTCTCATTTTCAAGGCCAGTTTGTCCAAAGACAGTCTGTAAGATAACAAATGATCCATAGTCCTTAGTCTTTTTTTTTTTTTTTTTTGCTTTTTTTGCAAAAATTACTAAACCAGACAAATTTTTTCTCTCATTATTTAGTCAGTTTATGGCACTCAATCTGGTAACTGTCCTTTGAATTGTTATCAATGTCACCAACAATGTACACAAGTTTGCATTTGCAGGGAAAGTACCATCGCTCATGGAATTTCCATAATTTTTATCGGCATCCACTTCTTAATCTAGCTCTCTAATCCATAGGAACCTTTTTGCTCAGTCTTTTTCAGTTGTAACGATGTTGTAATAACCTGCCATGCAAAAGGAAAAGAAATTAGGAAAATAATGGATGTTAAGCCAGCCTAATTGAACACCAAACTCAGAAACAAACTTCGCCTCACCTGGCAACATCGACACATATTACTATTGTATTCATCATCTTGCAATTCTGAAAAGAATGCACCGCCTTCTTTTTCAACACGAGAAGAAAGAATTTAGGTGGAATGCAATCATGCTCTCTCATGAAATTAATGCACACTAAGCAAACCAAAATTCACACCCTTTAAACTTCAAAGGCATATCATAACATAAAGCATTGGACATTATGCATTTAGAATTCTCGTTTACCTAATAATGTGAATTATTTACATCAATCTAACCATGTATCCTTTCGATTACCTCATTCAAGGCATCGAGTACGGATGAAGTAGAATCACCAAATCGCATCCTGACCAAATATATTTATTTCACAATAACGTATAGTGTCCTAAATTATCAACCCAACACATCTCAAAAGAAAAAAAAAAATTGAACAGCAGAAAGATAGCAATGCATTTAATAGATTCCTTTTACTACAAATAGGACAGATGAATTCTGCACAATCACATTACTTAAGAATTCTCGAAATTTTTTTTTTTTTCTTTCAATGAGAGCTGAAAAATAGCACAAACGGTTCAGTTCACCATACAGAAAACTGGTTTCTGGTTTCAACTGTAACGAAACGTAGTTGCCCACAGTTTCTTTCTAGTTTGGAAACCCGTAAAAAGAATCTTCACATGGGAACTCCCAATTTTTTTTTTTTTTAAGTAAATTCAGACTTTTATTAAAATGTTTCGTCTTATAAATGAGTACTGTTTATTATTATGTATTCATGGTTACAACTTAAAAAAAATTAAAACAAAATAAAAGACAAAAATTTCAAAAAGCTTGATCCAAACTTTCAGTTCCAAACAAAACAGAAACTAGAACTGGCCTGTTCTTACAAAATCATCTTAGAAAACCGCCCATTACTGTTAAGGTTTGGTTTCACCCTTTTTAGAACCAGAACCAGCATTTTCCAAACCTATGGGTCGATGCCTAAACTGACAAGCATAAAACTAAGACAGTTGTCAGCAGACATAAACATGTCAAATATCTCCCATTTCAGTCATAAAATCCCTCCTTCTCCTTTTTTTTTTTTTTTTT